CCGCGGGAGCCCGCGGACAGGCAGACGCTGCTGCGGCTCCTCGTGGAGATCGTCCAGGAGCTCAAGAAGTTCCAGTCGGGGGGACACAAGGGGCCGCCGCTGCTCGGCGGGGACTTCGCCCTGGGCCGCAGGGAGGCCGCGGACGACGGCGCCGCCCCGGAGGAGCAGCGGGTGGGTGAGTGTCGCCGTCTTCGCGCGGCCGTAGGACTGTCTCTGAGAAACACGTTTTTTAAAGATACGTCAATTTTGATCTTTAAAAATAAAGAGGTAAAAATAAATAAAACCCGGGAATATGGTAAAGAAAAAGAAAGTAGTGAGAACAGGAGGTGTCGCGCGCCCCGCAGACACCCGTCCCCGGTCCCCTGCACGCGTGAGCTGCTGTTGCCGGGGTCGCTCATCCCCGCACAGAATGTCACTGCTATTTGGAAACGCAAGTGTTTTCAGCGAAGCGTTTCTCCTGAGAAGGAAACGCTCCAGAGCTCCTCCCTGTGACAGAGCCTGTCCCAGAACGGCCACCCCAAGGGGCATTTCCCAGGACAGCATGTAAGCCTTTGATGCTTTAGTGACACAAGTAGGTCAAATATGATGAGGTCAGCGTTATACAGACTGAGTAAAGTCAGGAGTAAGTGACGGCTGGCTTTAGTGGGGTGTCTCGACCCTGCAAGCCTAAGGCACCTTGCGAATGTCCCCTCCTCAGAGGTGTGGGAAGGAGCTAAGCAGCGTCTCCAGTACAATAAGTGGCCTCACACAGGGTCACAGCCGAGTCACCAGCCAAAAACAGGGCAGTGAGAAGTGATGACAGGGGACTGTCAGGAAGCAAAAGCAAGGCTGAGAGAGAGTGTCACGGCGGTGTCACCACCGCCGACGACCCAGCGCCAGCAGAGAACTGTGCAGGCAGCCCAGGCTGGCCGGGAAGAGTCTCGCCCTAAGATCCTCTTTCCGTCTTGTAAACCAGCTGAATGTGTATTTCTGTTCGTGTAAACAGGTGGTTTCGAAGGCATTGGATCGTTTTCTTTTTTTTTTTTTTTTCTAAATATTTATCTAGAAAACGTAATGTTCTACAACAAATTTGTTGCTCGAAGACTCAGGCTTTCTTTCTAGGACTTTGAAATGCTGTGGGATTTGATTCCCAAGCTCTTCAAAATGAAAGTGTCTAAAAGTGACTTATGCGCTGGAAGCTGCTAAAGCGAAAGCAGAAACAAACCCTGTAACCTCGTGGTCTCCGCCTCTGGCCTGAGGGTGCGGAGCAGACAGTACCATCGGGGTGCAGTGAGCAGCTAACGCTGTTGAAAGGACACGTCCCCGGCTCTAAGTCTCCCGCTCTGTCGTATGTGACAGACCCAGGGTGTTCACACTGTTTTATGGAGTGCGGGGCAATACGGCTGATGACAGTTTCCAATAATTGTCTTCAACACCGACTTAAGATCGCACAACCAAAGGTCTTCATTCGGGCGATATAATCATGATCTTTCCCCTCTCCCAGAAATTGTTCCTCGAGATCTAAGGATGAAGGACAAGTTTTTGAAACACCTCACAGGTAAGCGTTTTCGTCCTCCGCATCTCTCCCTGAATTCCTTTGCGTCCCGTGAGGCTTCATGATCTGTTTCTTCTTCCATGTTCCAGGTCCTCTTTATTTTAGTCCAAAGTGCAGCAAACACTTCCACAGACTTTACCACAACACCCGAGACTGCACCATTCCTGCATGTAAGTGACTGCACCGGAATCGCTCTGTAGATGCAGCACAGTGTAGACCGTGACTCCGGTCCCGCAGCCCATTGAGCAGGCCCTGCCTTATAGCTCATGTTTGCGGGTATCTGCTCCTGCTGAGCTGTGGAGGCAGGGCCAGAAGGACCAGACCATTGAAGAAGAAAACTAATCGTGCGTCAGCTAATGCCTAACATTGCGTAGTCGCTGGAATTAATCAACTCTTGCAATGGGCTCGTGCTCTCGTTTTGTTTACGGATCCTGGCACGATGCCTTTGTTTGTATCTGCTCAACTATGGGAAACGAACGTTAAGAGTGAGCTCTGGGACGAGGACTCTGCACTTTAGAGGGTCAGGTCAACCTGGACATTCTCATTGAACTTTCTTGACCATTTTCACTGCTCTGATTGGACATTTTTTCTTTCCATAAGTAATTATAACCTCATCACACAGGAATTTTATTGCTATTTCAAAATTCTGTTTTTCTGGCTGGCTTCAGTGCTAGTTCCGAAATGCAGTGTTCCCCTTATCAGTGCAGCTCTCGGCTGTAGCTTTCTCTCCTGCAGCTTTCCTTTCCTTCTCCTCAACGTGTTTCTGGCTGTTTGTCCATAACAAAACATATTTTATTTCCCCAAAAGTGGCCCCTTGTGCTCTTCACAAAACACACGACAAGGACAAGCGACTTAGCTGGAGTGACAGAGCCCTAAACCATTTTTTTTTTAAAAAATTGGGACTACCATCTTCATTTCATTTAAGGTTCAGAGGAGAAAAGTCATGCAGACATGCCGGGAATCTTGCTGCCCGTTTTCAGAGACTATCCAGAGGGGCAGCGGGTCTGGTCAGCAGCCCATCTACACGAAGCAGAAGGCTTCTTTGTTTAGGCAGCAGAGTCACTCTGAATAGTAATAAATAGCAGTGCGGTAAATAGTAAACAGTCACTCTGTCCCATGCGGAGCTGCCAGGCACGTCCACAAACACCCTATCTATGGACCACAGATGGCACAGTGAGGGCACATCACTAGCACTTTCCAGACAGAGCCTGGGCACAGGCACATGGGATGTGCCCCCACAAATAAGGAAGGACCGATGGGCGCAAGTCAGGGCCCGTCTGGCCTCACTCAGCCACACGACCCTAGGGCCAAGGCAAGCAGCGCTCATGTCCTGCAGCTGTTTGCTTCTGTGTTTCTCGAGCTCCACGCTCCAGCCTACCTCCCCCTCCACGCCATGTGGACCTGGACACTCTTACACCCCTGCTTTCTTTCTTCTTTTGAAATAGAATCTCCTTCTGCTTGAGAATTATTAACCTGCTTCCTGGGGCCAGAGAAGCTTGTTATTTTTATGGTTTAAATGTGTATCTATTTTGTATTAAGTAGTGTCTTACAATAGTGGAACTTTCAACAGCTGGATCATAGATTCTAAATTTGAAAACAAGCCTCAGGTGATTCCACCTCATCTTTTCATTTGCGGATGAGGAAGTAGACAGTTTAAACTGTGCGCGCTGTCACGCGGATATCAGCAAAGCTAAGACCGAGGTCCCGTGCGGCCCCTTCTCCAGGCCACCATGCCGGGCAGTGCCCAGCTTCCTGCCCTCCTTTGCTCACAGTAACTCAGCTGCGTGATACCAAGACTCCTGGGCGCCCACCAAGAGGTGGAGGCCGATGGATCTGTGATTGAGATGAGTGGCTACTTAAGTGAATTCCACCAATTCCTCGCCCAGAAAGAGCTGGAGGGCTGAAGGTGGACCACTCTTAGGCTGCTTTAGGCTGTCTGAAAGAAAACCCTTAGAATCCAACTGAAAGGAGCTGGAGAGCCTTCTTACTCAAAGGGTGGTTCCTTGGGAAATGCAGAAGTAAGACTTAAGCACCGGCTGAACGAAGCCTGCATTTAGTAAGATCCCCAAATGATCTGTATGCACCTGAAGGTTTTAGAGGCTTTGCTACAGACATTTGGATGGAGTGGGGCAGCTGATCAGCTGGGACCTCTGGACGTGCTGCAGGTGAAGTGCCTACAATTGGTTGATTAGATCAGCCCTTAAATGCACACAATTTATTCTATGTACAACATGTCATCTATTTAGGAAAACCACATTCCAAAAAGCGTGGTGCTGCAGGTGAAGAAGAGACGTAAAGCCAGGGGTCCAGACGGCCCAGCTGCTGGCTGTTGGGTCATTTTTCCCCCTTCGAACCCAACCAATAGCACTGCGAATGTTTAGGAAGCTTATGTTTAGATGTAGAGCGAGCTGCTTATGCAGCGTCCTGTGCAGGTCTACTGTGGACAGGTTATCCACTCGCATTTTCAACTGAGTATGAACTCTCCCATTTTTAAGTACAATTTTGCTACTCTTGAGAAATGCACATTAGTAACCTGTAAACCGCTGCCGCTTTCCACAGAACTTCATCCTGAGGAAGAACTTCATCCTCATGGCCACGATCTCGCTTCCCTTGTCCGAGGCAGCACCTGCCGGGACAGTGCTGTGGGAGGTCATGTTAGGCACCAGGCACATCTGTCTCTCTCGGAAGCTAGTGCTGCTACTTTTGCTGCTCTGCTGCTTGACTTGGACTCCCCTTCTTTAGAATTTTAATGCAGGCGGCTTTGTGTCGTGTTCAGCTCAAGTGGGGACTCAGTCTGCACAAATCCTAAAAGTAACACAGGGTATGGGAAGACTCTCTCTCCCAGGAAGCAAACTGAAGTTATTTTGATGAGCTTTGACAGCTACCGAGGGGAGAGGACGGGCAGCCGGGGCGCAGCTGTGCGGCAGTTCTGCCTGCCCTCCTCTCTGCACAGTCCCCCAGTTGCATTATCTAACTTCTGCCACATGACGCTAAAGCCCCTGAAGTACCGTAAATTATTAAATCAAAAAGTTAGAACCTGTGGTTGCAGAGGAGAGTCTGGATTGCTTCCAGAGAATTGAGAATATTTAGAGAAATAAATGGCTTTAGCAGCTGGTATACTTGCAAGAAAATGCTCTTTCTTTGTTGTTCAGGCAACTGACAAGGTCTGATTTATTTTCACTGCAGATTATAAAAGATGTGCCAGGCTTCTCACCCGGCTGGCTGTCAGTCCAATGTGCATGGAAGGCTGAGGTAAGCTCCGACCGCAGAACCACATTGGCGCACAGAGAACCTGAGTCCTGTCTACCATGTGGAAGATTCATGGGAGTTTAGATCGTTCTTTGGCTAAGGTAGCCTTACTTGAGTAAAGTTGACACACATCTTAAACTATCAGCCAGAAATGAAAGATGCCCCTTACTGGCCTATCCACAGCACCCAGACACAGCCATAAGTCATTCATGTGGTGACACCGCTGGCACAGACCACACATCAGCTAACTGACTGCAGCATGGACTGAATGCGTGAACTGGGGCACACACTTCAGATCAGGCCTGTTCACCTTTAGGCTTTCACTCATTCATTAACACAAAAGAGTATATGACAAACCACGTCCATGCACATTTTATAACACATCTGGTACATTTTTGAGTTGGAGTCTATCATTATTCCAATAAGCTTATAAAGAATAGCTATCCTTTTTAAATGTTTCTATCAATGTTTTGTTTGGTTTTTTTTTTTCACAACCTCTAATGGTAAAAATATTAATGCACATCAAGAGTTTATGAACTAAACTTACCTTGGCCTCTTGCGGGCTGATGTGTAACAAGTGACTATCGGCCATGCAGTCAGTGGGTGGACAGAAAGGTGTGGCTTTATTTTCCTGACACAAATGCCACAGAACTCAGTCACTTTAGACAGCAAGAGAAAACTTTAATCTCACCGGGGTTATACTTACAGCATGTCTTGTGCGTGCTGGTTATGCTACCGCAGATAAGAACACTTCCTGCCCATCGAGGGCTGTGCCCAGAGAATTTGCCGGGTGTCCAGGAAACACCATGCGAAGGGAATGTTCTGTTTTTCCAGCGGCTACTCTAGTGTGTCTTGTGTAAGGCGGATGAGCACGTAGTGCTCTCTCCTACACACAGGCTCACTCTGGAAGGGCAGCGCTGAGAAGCATTCGGGCAGCAGCAGAGGGGCCGAGACCGACCCTGGCCCTCCAGGACTGGGTGTGCAGAGCCGACGCAGGCTGGGGCGGCACAGGTACTGTCGCCGCCGTCCTCAGCATCCCAGTCTCCCCCAGATGCAAGTGCTGCTCCTGACATGGAGGGGACGAGGCCCACGTTCCGCATGTTCACTGGCACCTCCTGCTTCCTTCCGTCCTCACTCTGACACTGTCCACCGTTCATCCATGCCTGTGCGGCACACGGAAAAGACTGGCTTTTTCCCTCCTTTTTAAACCAGTGAATGAATGCATGTTCCTAGAGGTCTCCCAAGGTGATATGCTCAGGGAGAGGAGAATGTTGTTTTTGTTAAGTATTTCTTTATACTTAAATCACCGCTGTTTCCAGAGATGAGCCAAGGCACATACTTGGAAAAATTCCCATTTATGTACAAGTGGAAAAGCAAATGCCCTATGACCACATCTACTGAACAAGCAACTCCATCCACATCCTCTCTCTCTGCCAATTAACCGGACAGCTGCTCCCCTCAGCTGACCGCTCCTGGAGAGGCAGTTGTCGTGAAATTATCCACAGAACTGACACTCCTGTGGCATCCATCCTCCGTGGTTCCGACCCCGCATCAGCGTGGGCACGTCCATGCGTGTTTAGCCAAAGGCAGCACGGGCAGTGCACAGCAAGGCTGTAAAGACGACGAGTCCAGGCACGTCCAGCACATGCGGCCTTGGGAAGGAGCTTGGTCATCAGCTCTGCCCTCTGCGTCACTCCCCACCCTGGACCACCAGTGCAGAATGTGACGGGAGGATGAAATGTACAAAGGGTACCAGGATTAGGGCATGTGCTCACAAGTTTCTGTTCCCAAAGGCCACCTGCTTGACAGTCACAGTTGTCCCAACTGTAACTGGGCTCATTTTAACCAAGAAATGGGTAAAGTTTAAATATCGATATTTCTGTTAAATATAATAATTTTATTCTTTAAAGATTAATTTCTTCTCATTCCAAAAGTGTTAAGCTGTGAACTGGCTAGTTATTACAGAGTAGATACAGTGCAGGATTTCTCTGCGTTTTGCAGATTGGTTCAGAAAACTAGTGAGGTGCTCTGAAGGGCAGAGCATGGGTCGGGTGTTGGGAGGCGCGTTCCACAGCTAACAGCTGGCCACGCACTGCCCCTGGTGCATACCCTTTTTCCTTTGTCCTGATACACGAAGACAGCAGGACCATGCTGCAGAGTAAGATGCCTCTCCCAACTACAGGCTGTAACCTTTTTAAAGGCCGAGAGCCTGGGAAAAGCAGGTCTTTTTGCAGGGAGGGGCTCTGCACATGTGATTTCAGCACATCCATTGGTCTCTCTGAAGCTCATTAACTCACCTCAGGCCAGAGAGAAACGTTATTTTCCTAGCTACTCTCCCTAAAAGTCACATTCTTCATGATCTGGACTCGGGTCAGCTGGATAAAAAGCCTGAGCTCTGGGATATTTTCAGAGAAATGGAGTTTACCTACTTTAGTCTACCAAATGCAGTCTAATCTTAGTAACCTTAAAGTTCATCATTCTTTTAAAAATACTATAATAGTGATTTAGAGATTTTAACATAGAGTACTAGAAATAATGGCACTTAAACTTGATTAAATTATTAGCTTTGCCAACCCTTGTGAACACTGAGGTGTAAGACAATCCAGCTGTTTCCCAGAATGGCCACAAACTGTACATCACTGTGGATTGAGCCTTGAGGATTCTGACAGCACACGTAAGACTAAGCACTGTTTCTTAAACTTTAATAAGGATTCACGTGTTTATGAAAAAATGTACGTACACACTGATAAACATAAGGATGTTTATAACTGTTATGTAATTTATGTTTTCTAGAATTGATAATGAAATATGAAGTTATGTGAAACCACATATATTTATTTTCAGCAGTGAGCAGAGCTGTAAAGGAGCAACACACCAGGAACCATGAGAAGTGCCTTGCAAACCAACGGGGAAGCAGAACTCCTGTCTTCATCAACAGATTCCCTTGTGAACAAGAGATTTATTTTTGCAGACAAGACTTCCGTAATTCCTTTGAGTTTCGTATGTTGCTGCCACTGTTTGCAGATACACAAGTATATTTGCTAAATTAGGGTACCTGACAGTGATGCTTGCCAGTCTTTAAAGAACAGAAGACAACGCTCCACATTTGATGTGTAGTGCTGTCAAATAACGACAGAACATTCCATTCTCCTGATTTTTTAAAGAACAGAAGAGAACGCTCCACATTTGATGTGTAGTGCTGTCAAATAACGACAGAACATTCCATTCTCCTGATTAGGTCAAATCACAAAGAATATTTCTTTAGAAACATAGGCAGAATCTTAAACTATATTTTCATATAGCACATAGTATGATTTGATATTTTGTATTACTTTTACAATTAAATTCCCAGAGTATTATTTGGGAATGCATGAAAAATTTTAAAAAACAAAACAGAAAAACCCTTCAGTCATGTTTTGGAGTCAGTGGAGTGTATATCTGTGAATATATCCAGGCTATTTTCATTTGTCCTTTGTATAATACATGTAACATAGTAGTCCAGCTCTTGTGCAATATGTAAATACTGTACATAAACACGAGTAATAAATGGAGTGTTTGTTATAATAGTCTTCAGAGTGACTCTTTACCTCTCTAACAAGTTCATCATTGTGAATTCATAATTCACAAGTCTACCGAGACCGTTATAATGGCAGAACGTCACAGAATATAAAAGGCATAAGTAAATTAAACTCAAAGCCTAGAAATTCCTGTAAGGGACAATTTAGCATTTTTTAAAAGTAGAGATTACTACATATTGGTGACATAATTTATTGACAGGCCCTGATTTGGTAGTAAATACTCCAAATGAGGTTGTTATCTGTTATTTCCCATATGATTTTGTAATCATGAAAACACTAACCTAAGAGGAACCTTGAGACTTCTGAGCAGTCCCAGACTTTTACAGGTAGACATATTTTAAACAAATTTACTTGGATCCAATTTAAAAAGATAAGATGAATTCAGCATAGCACATGAGCCCTTGTAAATAGGTGGTGCTATCTGGACGCAGCCCTCAGGACAAAGCAGCATTAAGAGATTTACAGTTAGAGGAACTGTTAAAACAAGCTGTAGGATTTTATTTATGAACATAAAGGAACAGAAAAATTTCTTGACTTTGAGGTTAAGCAGTAACTGAATGAGCAGGACAGGGCATAACTTCTGAAGTGTTCTTACTTAGTCCTATTTTCTAGTTGTGGTTCATTACTTGACCTTTTCTTCCCAATTCTTTACACTTTGAGGATACCATTATCAGATTCCCAATCTATTTAACCTCTTAAGTTTTCTATATGTCCGAGTAGTTCCACCAGGAACCAGACACACTCAGCTAGAAAACCCCCTTCTGTGAAGACACTGCCGTACTTTTACGGGGCTCCTCCCCTGCCACTGGGGAACCTTGTGACAGAGGCCAGGAGAACAATCACTCATTGTTCTAAACTCTTCACATTCCTTGGGTGATGATCCACTCAGCCTTTGGATAAGGACTGACTTTTCCTTTTACTAAAAGATCTCCCAGGATTTGAGGTCACCAGCTACGAATGGCAAATCAAGGCAGGGAATGGGGCAAACTGTCTCTCACCTGCTGAGCTGGAATTGGGGATGCCCATGGCAAGGTTAGGCAAGGACGCTCTGCCCACAGTGACCTGAAACTTCTTTCATAAACCAGACATTACTGTATGTGACAGCAATGTGCTTATTTTCTTCATTTTACTTCCTAACACTGAAGACAAAGATACACAACATAACATCACAGATCATTTGAAAACGACAACAAAGGCAGTGTTTTCAAATGTTTCTTCACTTGTCAGTAAAACAGCAGACAAACACCAAATTTATATCTCACTTGTATTTTTATAACTCCCCGGTTTATTCTGACAACAATCTTTTCTGACTTATATCCATATGGATTTGAGATTAGTTATCCCAAAGTACACCAGCAGACAAACACCAAATTTATATCTCACTTGTATTTTTATAACTCCCCGGTTTATTTTGACAACAATCTTTTCTGACTTATATCCATATGGATTTGAGATTAGTTATCCCAAAGTACACAGAAATTACCTATATTTACCTGTAAGATTATTAAATGCTGACGAATACTTATTAACACATCAATTTAAGCACGCCAATGCAATAGAACTTTTTCCAACTTTTGAAATTATTTTTTCCCACCTAATCCAATTTATACCTGACATTTAGTTTACACGTGTATGTAAAACAGACATATTCTTCAACTGACCATAAGATAAACCAGCATACAAGTGTCCATACTTCTGTATATAATTAAATTTTCAGAGGCAAAGTGGTTCAAATAGGAGCAAATAATTTGACCTCATGAAATAAACCAGACAAAAGAAGTATTACACGTGCTGAAGATTAATTCCAAAAATTTTTCTCCTTCCTGTTTTTTAAACATACAAGTGTGCACTATGGGTGTGTGTGAATTAAAACACTTCTAATCTAGACTGTGATCTCCTATGCACAGGCTATTGCTACTCAATAAAAAGCCCTGGGCCAAAGAGTGAGGTAGCACAGGTGAGAGAGGGCACCTGTCCTCATCAAGCTACCCACACAAACCACTGCAGAGGTAGACTCAATTTCCTAAGTCTCAATGGGCTCAGGTGCTGACCTGGGCCTTTCAAGTGATGTTTTACTTCATTTTTGTTGTTCTACATGAAGGCACTTCAAAAAGTTCGTGGAAAAACAGAATTGCAGGACATACAGATCTTTCCACGAACTTTCTGAAGTGCCTTCCAGTGCTGTTTGTTCCACTGTTTTTGTAATTGGGGCAAACTGGGAGGTTCAACTAGTGTACAAACACTTGATATACTCCATAAACTCCCCCATAAACTGTCTGAATCAAAGATTTTTATTTTTTCTTCTGCCAAACACAACTGAATTGCATCTACAATTATTTTTAAGATATGAAACAGTAAATCAACTGAAGAAACAGCTGGGGCCTTGGACTGTGGAGCACACTGGCTGAGAAATGCAGAGGGTGAGGACGGACCACCTCCTGCAGCAGAGCACGGCTAGCCTCGGTGCGCCTTCTCCAGGAATGCCGTGCAACACCTGACACACTGCTGGTACACCGCCTCAAAGTCAGAGTCATTCCCCTGAAAGGATAGGGAAAAGAAGACAACAAATCCTGCATGACAAAAATGTCCTCAAGAGAACCTTAATATGTTATTTAATATAGATATGTTGATCTTTACAGTAGCCCTAAAGTGTGAACTGTACTTACATAATAAGGATCTTCAATAATAAGTTGTTTTTGTGGATCATAGCTCCCAAGTAGTTCAATTTTAGCTTTGCAGTTTTTAACTTGATTACTTTTTCTCTTCAAATCCCTGTAAAATTGAAACATGAACTTAGTTTTCTGATCTACGGTTTCAAATTAAACAGGGACATCTGCTAGGGTTTTATGAAACACCATCTCAAAATCTAAAGTAACCTGACTGGAAATGAAACAGAACACTTGGCAGATCTGTGTGGCCCTCATGCAGCTGCATTTCACAGCTCTGTTGCAGGCAGGAGAGCTTGCGAGAGTGCATATTCTCCCTGATTTTGTTACACAAAATATACATCTTCGAGTCAGACAATAATTGTTTTCCCCTGTGAAATACATTTGGAGACAACCAATCAAGAAGATACTGTTGCAGAGATAAAACAAAGGTGACAGAAAGAAACTCAACAAGCCATGTGAACCAATCTCAACACAGTATTTCAGGTCCCACACCCCACTACTTGACTATTTTCTTCATTGTGTTCCTCAAGCCTCTGCTGGAGCTGAAAACTCAGCTCCGCTCTCCTGATGTCTCCACCTTTCGTTTTCACATTGCTTCAAAAAGAAAAGGCAAACTTAGCTAAGCTACATTTTGATCATTCCTCCATTTATTTAGGAATTTCCCCTGAGCACCTGTGCTGCGCCAGGTACAGGCTTGCATGTGGGAATGGTACATGGAACACGCCAGCCAAGAGCTCCCAACACATGGGGTTTCACATCTCAGAGGCTCAGTGCAGTGATCAGCACTGCAGGGGGCCCGACATGCTAACGGACCATCTGGCTTAGACTTACAGGTGGCAGAAAACTTCCCTAAGGAAATGTCTCTGCTAAAACATGAAGGACAAACAGGAGCAAGGAAGAGCCTGCAGGCATAGGGAACGGAAAGTGCGAAGGCTGGGTCTGGAGAAACTCAGTGCACCACCCACAAAGGAAACACCACGGGTTCAATGCCAATCACTGCACATTGGGTGTGCTTACAAGATATATTCGTATTACCTATAAGCTATGATGTAAATGAGAAAAATGAGGACAAATCAACCAGAAAGCAAAAATTAAAAATTTATGCATTTTAACGAAAGTCTTAATAAAAAAGTAAAACTGCTGCATCCATATCTATTCACTCTTAAAAAGTATTAGAAACACAGAAAGTTTCTCTTCATTAAAAATATAGAATATTTATGGGCCGGCCCGTGGCTCACTCGGTGGAGTGCGGTGCTGATAACACCAAGGCCACAGGTTCGGATCCTATATAGGGATGGCCGGTTCGCTCACTGGCTGAGTGTGGTGTTGACAACACCAAGCCAAGGGTTAAGATCCCCTTACCGGTCATCTTTTAAAAAAATTAAAAAAATAAAAATAAATATATAGAATATTTATGAATTAGTGATGCAAGCTAGTAAATTCCTTAGGTCACACTGAATCATGATGTGCCTTTAGTAACAGCAGGGCAGGAAGAGCGGGGCGGGGCCAGATGGAAGGGGCCAGGTGGGGTGGGGGCAGGGCTGGCTGGCTGCAGCGGGTCAGGCAGGGCAGGGCTGCAAGGCCACACAGGGCAGTGCGGACAGGGTCTGGGAGGTGGGATGCGGGCTGGCTTCACAGAGCCCAGCTTAAACCCTACCACACCCACCCATGACTGTGCATGTGGGACAGGAAGGCAGCCTGGCTGCTCCACAGTTCCCTTTCCAGGAGCCAGTTGTATGAAATGAACCTGGGCATGCAGAGCAGTTGTCAGCGCTGTAGAAGGTTAGTCTTTGTTATCTAATACTCCAGTTCCTCAGTGTTAGTGTTTAAGTTGATTAAGGCATTCAAACGTGTAAACACAGTAAGCAGTTTTCTGTTTTGCGGGGAGTACAGCAGAAAGAGCACACCATCACACTGTCCACAAACACACGTGTCCATGTCCCAGCACAGACGAAGTCATGCCGCTGCAGAACAGGACACCTCCTCCTAGGGAGCACCCATCACGACCCGCCGTCCTCCGATTCAATCCTGCTCATCAGATCTCCCCTTAGCCAAGGTGTCTGTCTTTGTAAATACACCTACGAGACACCTAGATTACTCTCACACTGTCCACAAACACACGTGTCCATGTCCCAGCACAGACGAAGTCACGCCGCTGCAGAACAGGACACCTCCTCCTAGGGAGCACCCATCACGACCCGCCGTCCTCCGATTCAATCCTGCTCATCGGATCTCCCCTTAGCCAAGGTGTCTGTCTTTGTAAATACACCTACGAGACACCTAGATTACTCTCTGACTTTCTTGCTATTGTAAATTGGTAATTCTGTATACTGTGATCACCTCTGTCTATTAAAAACTTTAAGGTAATAAAAAAGCCACTCTGTAACAACAAACTACTTGGCCTATTACTAAATTGACAGTTGAACAGAAATACTCTTTAAAATATGATTACCTCAGATTGCTTTCATCCATACACAGTATATAATCAAATGTGGTGAAGTCTTCTTTGGTAACCTAAAATTGAATGAGAAGTCAAAATACAGTGTTTATATTTATACCACTAAAGACTGGAGGATCCACAGCAGTACTAAAAACACGCTGCTATATTTGAGTCTGTTTCTCACTAATTAACAACTTAAATAACAATTTAGGGTACTTCTAAGTTAAAACAGTTAATCTATTTCCCAAAATGGTATTGAAAAGAAATTTTATAAAGTTCCTTGCAATAATCATAAAACAGTATAATATGTAGTCACAAACTTTATAACAAAATATAATTCAGTCAATATGTTAAAATATCACATCTTTAATAACCTTCATTGTTCTACCTGTTTTCATTCAATAAGCACCAAACATCCTCGCTCTGCTGACATACACCAAACTAAAGAGCCACAGACCCCTGTCCTGGTGGAGCTACCTTTCCATGCCGGGCAGACACACACAAGTGGCCTAAATGCCTTGGAGAAAAGTAAAGCAGAGAGGAGATCAAGAGTTTTAGGGGAGGGAGGAAGATAAATTAAGCAAGGTGGTCAGAGAAGGTTCACTAAGAAGGAAATGTGTGAATAACTGAATCTATGGTTTTTCTCCACTCTGACTAAATATCCGTAACTTACAAATGACACACAGACAGTGCCACTCAGTATTTTTATTGATTCTGATCTGAACAGTTAGTGTTTTCTGACATAATTGATAAATATAAGACTCCTTATAATATTAATGAAAAATTGTTTTGGAAATTTTGACTATTTTAAACAATCACAGAATAAGAAAGAACATCGACATGCTGCAGAACGAAGGTAGAAATAATTTCTAAGAATGTAACTTCTATAATAATCTTCCCCACCAAAAAGATCCCCTAAAATATCTTTGCATAGTGAAACTACATAGGAGATATCGAAAGCCTGGTTAAACGAGTAGTGATACTCTATTATAACGATCAGTACAGCAGAAGAATAAATATATTCATCATTCTGTTAAAAACAAGAAATTTTGGCTTTTAGTTTGCACTGCATTAGTTTTTAGTGTAGCATGTTAATATTACAGAGGACTGTATTTTGTCAACCTTTCCAAGGCACTAACATTTAAAAATCTATTAGAACAAATTAGTTGTGTGAGAAATGTCCTAGGATTTAATATTAAACACTGTTTTTAATTTTGGACTGACTATAAAGGATTTCCACTTGCAGCTATAAATGAAATACCTTACGGCAGACCAAACTACTACCAAAACAATCAGAACATCCATATAAAAAACCAAAATGCCTCTTCAAAGCCATGAGCATACTTCTGTGACGATGACGCTTTGTGGGCCACTGGGTCTCTCAAGTACTCAGCCCTGCTGCTGTGGCACAAAAGCTCCCACAGAGGACAGGAAAAGAATGTGCCTGGCTGTGCCCCAATAAATGCTATTTACAAAAAAGATGTGGTCCTCCTCGGGCCGACTCCTGCCACAGGCAGCTGACAGTCCACCTTTCTCCCTCCAGGGCATTTGCTCATGCTGGGCACTGACTGGACATAAGAACAGAGATCCCAAACTTTTTAGTAGCAGAACCTTTTTAACTCTTAAAATTACTTAAGCCCTATGCTACGGTTTGAATGTGTCCCCCAGAGTTCATGTGTTGGAAACTTTGCAATGGTGCTGAGTGTTGACCTTTAAGAGGTGGTTAGGTCATGAGGGCTCTGTCCTCACACATGGATTAATGTCCTTATTGCAGGAGTGGGTACTGGATAAAAGCATGAGCTTGGCCCTTTCCCCCCACCGTGTGCAAGTTCTCTTGCCCTTCTGCCTTCTGTCAAGAGGTTGTGCAACAAGATGGCCCTCGCCAGATGTAGCTCCCCAGCCTTGGACTTCCCAGCCTCCACAACTGTCAGAAATAAATCTCTGTTCTTCATAAATCACCCAGCCTCAGGTATTGTTACAACAGCACAAAACACACAAAGACACCAAGCAATAAAACAAACAGAAAAACCAGGAAGAAAAACAGACTCATAAATGACCCAGATATTAAAATAGCTGTGTAGTTGGCTCAAGAAAATATAGAGCAAGATGTGTAATTTCACCAGAAAACTATAATCTACACACACACACACCAAAAAAAAAAAAAAACCCAACAAATGAAACTTAAAAAATTAAGTAAACAGAATAATGGACACTAAGAACTTAGAAAGTACAGATTTATAGACTGCAAACAGTCAAAGGATTAATATGTCAGAAAACAAGTCAGTAGAAAATCTTAGACTAAAGAACAGAGTACAAAGCATGAAGAATAGAGAAAAGGACATCAGAAATTTGTGTTCCATATACATATATGATGAATCTCAGAAGAGAAAGAGGAAAAGTAAAATATGAAATGATAACAGCCCACAATTTTCCAAAATTGATGAAAAATATCAAGCCACAAATTCAAGAATCATACTTTGGCCTACCATAGTAAAAATGCTAAAAAAAAAAAAAAAAAAAAAAAAAAAATTCCAAAAGTATAACTTAAAGACAGCCAGAGAAAACGACAGAACACAAAAAGGCAACTGACTGGATGAATTTTTCCAAATGATTACAGCAGAAATACTACCAATCTTCTACAAACATTTTTAGAGAAAAGAAAAAGGGGGACTATCCCCAGCGTTTTTTACGAGGCTGCACATACATCCAACAGGGCCATGGGCAGGTGCTCACCTTTATCCACAGTGGCACTATCTGTAGTAGCCCCCAAATAGAAACAACCCAGACCCAAACGTCCATCAAGAGTGGAGTGGACTCGATCAACTGTGCAAGGACACAACTCCCAGCAATGGCAATGAACTATTGCTACAAGCGACCTGGAGAATCTCACAAGTGAAAAAAGCTGAAGGAAAAGACTATATCCTACCACCCCACCTCTACCAAGTTAAAAAGGTAGCATGAATTTCTAGTGGGTCTGTGTCTCTGGAGGAGGGGGCGGTGGCCACCACGGGGCCTCAGGGCCACACTCACAATCTGTGCACAAGACAATGAAACGTTTACCACAGAAAGAAAAGATTGTAAAATTAAGGAACAATCTCCACCGAATTAACTGGACTTAGACCTCACATACTCAAGAGACTGACACAAGTTAAAAAGAAATCAGCACCTCAGAAATATTTTATTTATGAAACCTAAGCTGGAAGTACTAAGGTAGTTAAGATTTTAAGAAATGTACTGGAATACTTATCACATGAATTGTGACAATTAGCAAAGAAAATGAAGCTGTAAAACATAAGATCTAATGTAATATTTATAAAACATACCTTATTAGTACTTTAAAATTCAAAAAAAAAAATGGTTGAGAGAATTTCTTTCTTTCTTTTTTTTTTTTTTCCTTTTTGTCTCTTTTTTCGTGTCCGGCAACGGATCGCAACCTTCAGTGTCGCGCCCGTACAGGACCGGGACCGGCAACGGGATCGCAGCCCTCAGTATTGCACCTGCACCTCGCTCAGCCAGTGAGCGGGAACTGGTCTATATGTGGGATCCGAACCCTCGGCGGGAGCACCACCGCGCTCTCAAGCGGGCGCACTGTAGCAGTGCGCCACCGGGCCGGCCCCGAGAGAATTTCTTAAAAGCAACAGGGAAAAGAAAAAGCAAGAACCAGATTCTGTGGACTTACTTCTTCCCAAACTGGTAATTAAAACTGTTCTTAAAAAAATGTCTCCAGTTTTGCCTTTTAAAGGCATATGTGTAAAATACTTCATTAGCATACACTTTTATGAAAAATAATCCAACCTTAAAAACAAAAAACTTGAAAGTATAATTGCTCATAATTCTGAAAGACTGAAAAATAAATCTATAGTCTTTAAACAATGGCAAGTAGAAATTGGCAAGGTGTGCAAAAGACTGACAAGATTAGCATAGATAAATTATATAAACAATATTTAATCTTCTGCCCAATGAAAATTCCATTTCAGAAAGTGTCAGTCCTTAAGTACTTTAAATAAAGAACTCCTAAAAAACCAACAGTATCTTCTAATTTATTGTACAAATACAAGGCTACCTTCATTTGAAATTATAGGGATTGGTTCTTACTTCAAACTTAAGCCTAGCATGATAGACTGCAATTATGTGTCCATAATAATGTCACTATTATCCTATATTTCTAAGGCACTTCACAATTGAAAAAACGCTTCTAAGCAACAAACTTGTAATATAAGGGTACTTCAAAAAGTTCATGGAAAGATCTGTATTACCCTTCCATTCTATTTTTCCATGAACATTCTAAAGTACTCTCAGATGAGAAAAATAGTCACCATGGCCTGTATGTTTAACTAAAAATTATGCAGGAAGAACAGAGCAGAGATCACAATGCAGGCCTAGCTTCTGGCCAGGACACAATCTTCTAAGTTATGTAACTTTTATATGCATTTTAGTAAGTAAATTCCAAAATCATGCAAGTCTTTCAGAACTATGGAACCAAAAGTGAAACAAAACGAGACACATTAGCTGGTTAAGTTCACGCTAAATATACACATCCATTAACACATTAAGTCTGGTTAAGCCTCTCACAACTTCTCAAGCCACAGGACTCTAAATATTAGAAATTAAACAAGATCTCGTCTACCTGTCTTGCCTTATGGGCTGTGTTAATGCCATGATTTCTTAAGCAGCTCATAGCTCTTGGGTCTGGGGAATGGCCCACGTTCCAGCCAGAAACGGCACCGCTGTCAATGACCCACTGTAACACAAAACACATGTCTTCAAGCTCAAGTACAGTACCTGCCGGGCTACGTGACTCATGGGAATACCATGCCTCTTCATGCAGCTTTGCCCCCGATAATCAGGAGGGTTCCCTACTTCATACGTGGATGTCGCTGCACTGTCTATCCTCCACTGCAGGAGAGAGAAAAATTTTTTTGGCAATCTTCCTGCCCAAGGGCAAGTCTGTTTGGCACCATTAAGATAGTGAATGGTACTTACATTATCTGAAACATTTTGGTCAGTTACAAGTTTTCTGAAAACTGCTTCTGCAATCGGTGACCGACAGATGTTACCTTAAAACAAAAAGAGGGGCATAAAGAGAGCGTTAGGTTTGATGGAACGGCAGATGCCGAGTCCCGGAGAACTGCTCCACACTTGACACAGCAGGTGCATCTTCCCTAAGGGCCAATACTACCCTTTGCTGTCACTGTCCTCCCTGTGCACAGGGGGCCCTGGTGAAGAAGTGCCAACCACACCCAAGTTCATTAATTCGACACCAACTGTCCAAGTACTCGAAGTACATATGACAAAGACTTCAGAAAAAACAATTTTAACCAAAATCATTGTTTTCCAGATTGCTACCTATGACCCAGAAGTGAGTCATGACATCAATAAAGTGGGCTGCAACCAGCTTATTTTAAAATTAAATAGAAAATAATTAAAAATACTTATTTTCAAGTATATCGCACATAATAAGGATGAATACTGTTTCATAAAACAAAGCACAAACAAATGTATTTAGGCATAAACAGTGACTACTGAACGACATGCTGACAGAACCGTGGACACCAGGAGCTAACCCACCCGAGACCACCAGATCAGCCCCGCGGGCCGCAGGACCAAGGGTCCCCAGGGCCACCCTCATCTCAGACCAGCTGGCTACAAACCCAGGGATCCCCCGACTCCCTCAGGTTTGGTAATTCTCTAGAAAGACTCACAGAACTCAGGAAGGTGCTATACTTATGATCACAGTTTCATTATTAGAACCAGCCAAATGAAGAGATCTGGGAAGATTCCAAACAGAAAGCTTCCGAGTCCTCAGGGACACATTCCCCTCCTGCCATCGTGTGTGACAACACTCAGAGTACTGCCAACCCCAGAAGCTCACCAGGGTTCTGGTGCTCAGTTTTCACTGGGGTTTAATTACGTGGGCATCACAGACTGAACCACAGGCCATCTGGCTGAACAATCTCCAGACCCCTCCCCTCCCAGCGTGGTTCAAGGCCCCACCCTGAGGTATCCTTCCCATAAAGTATAGGGGCCACCACAAATAACAAGGACACCCTTATCACTCCTAGAAAAATCCAAAGCATTTAACGGTTACCTCCCAGAAGCCAGGACAAGGGCCAAATTCCTCAGTACATGAGGGAAAAAGATAAAAGACAAGATTTCCTCTCAAAATAGATCTACCATGCACCAAGCAATGTATTTAGGGGAGAACATAGTTAGCTGTAATAAAAATAAGAAAATAAATGCTGATAAACAAGCAATATACTACAGGAGCATGGAAAAAGATTCTATAAAGCATAAACAAGAACGTAAGTTTCTTAATAGAAAAAAAGGAAAATTAGAGCTGATGTTTAAAGGATGACATGGAACTTCATGAGAAGAGGCAGGGAAAGGCATTTAAACTGGGGACTTGTCAGTGTTTCCTTTCCATGCTCTAATTTTTGTGTAGTTTTTAAAACAGGTATTATCATCAGCACTATTTTAATTACTGAAAGGCTTCCTAAGGATGTGTAATTATTTTATTTGTCACCAATACCCTGAGAATACTTTTAACAGCAAAGACTCTATTCCAAATCAAGACAATTGTTAGTTATTATGTGGGAACTCTCGAAGTAATGATAGATGCCTACTATCTCAACATCTGAAGACATGATAAAAAGCCTAGTACCACTGTTTTACAAATAATTATCAGAAGCTGTAAAATAACAGCTTAGTTTTTGCATAGCAATGGACTCTTCACTGTCTCAAAGGCCTATCACCCACACTTACTTTCCCCCCAGACAGTTGCATTCAAAGCATATGTATGAGTGTAGATTAAGAAGAAAAAACACTACTACAAAGATTAGAAGTGAAGTCATACTACCTATAAGGTCAACAGATAAGAAATCCAAATGCTAATAACTTGCCCTCTTGATTTCAAAAGCTGACATCACCAAATTAATGTGTTATTAAAAAATGGAGCACACTGGTCATCAGTAAAACGCAGTACTTCAGGTTTCAGCTATGGAACAAGTTCTGTAAACCTAAAATGCCAACTTCAGATTTCCTTAGGAAGAAGTTTCAATCTGTGAAGACTTTAGTGTGTTCTTCTGCAAACAGGGCCGCATACCGCACACCCTCACACAGGCCTCCATTTCGAGGTTGGAGGGTCACACAGGCAACAGCCAAGCTCTGCAGGGGCTGGGGCTGTGTTCAGCCCACACCTCCATGGTGTGTGACACGGACGGAACATGACACCACTAACACATTTATTATCTTCAGCCACCATGCTGGCTGGGCCACAGTTCCCAGATCATCTTCTCCAGTAGGTCTCTCTCTTACAAAAACAGTCTTAATTAAATCTTGCTGAAGCAGTTCAGTTCTGTCTCGCATTAGCCTTCTAATGAGGAACCTCAGATGCTTCCCTACTTTTCAGCCACAACGGGGTCCAAACAATCACTTTCAAGAAATAAAATTTTTTGGTTTCAAAAACATGCAGTTCTTACCATCCAGTGTCTGGGCTACCCTGTAAAATGGCATTTCTCCACCTCTCCAATCTCCCAGAACACAACCTCTCACCATCGGACCATCAAGGGCATCCTGCCTTCCCTTGCACCTGCCCCACCTTTGGTCTAATCTCAACAGGACAGCTGGAACACCTCTCTCTAAATTTAAATTAGATCACTTCCCACCTCTGCTCAAAACCCTCCAAAAGCTTATCCTCACGTGGCCTCCCAAGATCTGCACCTAAAACTGGGGTTCAAAAACTGTGGCTCATGGCCCACCTCCTTTGCGTGCAGCCCACGGAGCCAAAATAATTTCTACATTGTTAAAAATAGGTGGAAAAAAACTCAAAAGTAGAATAATATCTTGTGACATGTGAAAATTATACGAAACTCCAATTTTTGTGTCCATAAATAAAGTTCTATTGGAACACAGCCAAAGTTCATTTATGGACTGGCCAGGGCTGATTTTGCACTACACCTTCAGTATGACCCCAAAAGATGAAATATTTAATCTCTGGTTCTTTACAGAAAGAGTTTGCAGACTCCTGCACTAAAGCACCCATTACACATAAGAAAAGTCAAAGTTCTTAAGAAAAAATTGTATGCTGAGGTTGCTAAGATCTACAGTAAAAACGAATCTTCTGTGAAATTAAAAAAGAAAAAAGAAATTTGTGCTAGTTTTGCTGTCTCACCTCAAACTGCAAAAGTTACAGCCGCAGTGCCTCATAAGTGCTTAGTTAAGATGAAAAAGGCATTGAATTTGTGGAAGAAATGAATAGAAACAGGCTCCCATTGGCAAGAATAGGGTTTGGTACTATATGTGGTTTTCAGGCATCCACAAGGGTCTTGGAATGTAGCTAGGATCTCCTAGCTATCAAATAACTACCATAGAATGTGTGTAATAAAAGATGTCTATAAGGAAGCAACTATTGGTCTGGGAAAGCAAAGGGAATATTTGGGTTTGACCCTATAAAATAGAAGTGCTTTCCAGGCAAAATGTAAAATGGGCACCCAGTAAAAGCCACAGAATGGAGGCACATTAAGCATCGGAAGTGCTAGGGAACAGCAAAAGGTCCTGGAAGGCAGTGCCCAGACGGTGCGGGTGGGAAAAGGTAAGTGAGATAAAGCGGGAAGGGTCTGGCAGACCTCTAATGTAAAAAGGCACCGAAACCTTATTCTGTAGAAAATTCAAACCCATCAGAAGATCTTAAGACCCCAGCCTGAAAAGCCAGCTGGACTACTGACAACAGAGGCTGTCCTCTCCTAGGGTGGAGTCACGGAGGAATACAATCAAGTAGGACCACACCAAAGGAAGAATCCTGAAAACTAAAGGGAAAGTGAGTTCTACTTTGAGTAAGAGGCGCTAAACGGTGAAATCCTGAAAATGAAAGTAACTCTGTCCGGAAGCTCCTTGAAAGAGTAATTAAAAACACCTTCATTTTTCATGTAAAGAAACTGGTACGCTGGTACAGGGGGCTGGGGGCCAACGCCATGCAGAGACCTGGAGAAGTGAGGTCTCCGGCTCGGCTTTCGCAGCGTGGCACTGCACAGCTCCATCCGTAAGTACGGGCCGACAACCAACCAGCAAACCGGTGCTGCCGTGGGCCTCAGGAGGCCTCAGAGCACGTCAGTCGGGCAGCTTCGGGCTCGCCTGAGCACCACGGGTGCAGTGGAAAGGACCCTGGGTGGAAGGACTGTGCTGCAGACGCCAGGAAACCTGGCCTAGAGCAGGGCCGGGCAGGTGTGAGGGGTCCCAGCCTGGAGAACGGGCTCTGCAGAAGTGAGGGGACCCCGGGCTGGAGAGCAGACTCTGCAGCTGTGAGGGGACCCCAGCTTGGGAAGCAGTTTTTGCGGGCTTAAGGGGCCCCCGGATTGAAGAGGGGTCTGGGCGGGCGCGCCGCGCGAAGGGGGCGCCGCGGCCCAGCCACGTTCGCCCCGGCCCAGCCGAGGTCTCCCCGTCCCCGGTCTCCTCCTGAACAGAACTCCTGGCCGGACATGCACCGCGCAGCGCGCGGGGCCCACCCTGACCCTCCGGCGAGCGTCAGGACCGGGCCAAGTCCGCGCTCTCTTACCCAGGCACACGAACAGCACCGACTTGGGTACCTGCTCGGCCATCTTCCGTGCGCAAGCCGGGCGCCGGAGACGGCGCAGGGCCGACGGGCGCAGCGCATGCGCACTGCCAGCCTCCGCCGCGCGCACCTGCGCAGTTTCGTTCCAGCCCGTCCGGGCCGAATGAGCGTGCCCGTGCATGCGCAATCCGCCGCAGCGCATCCGTAGGGCGGCTCC